TAAAATTGTTGTGATGTACTCAAATGATTATTCAAGCATGAAAATAAATTAATACCAGCTATGCAAAATGGTAGCAAAATGTATATACCTTGATAACATTATGTATAGAAGTTATATTCCAGAAAACTATATACAGATATTACTTTCTATAAATAAGTAAAGCCAATTAGTATATTACATATACACATGTATAAACATTTACACTATATGTAAGCTCTATAAAATGAAAGTGAACACTACACACAAAAGTCAAAAGGAAAGGAAACTTAAAGCGTGGGCAGAACACATAGGGAGACATAATTTATTGATATTATTCTAACCCTCAGGCTCAGTGTGAGTTTCAGTTGTTCATTATGTTTTTTTTTTTTTCCTTTAACAGCAGCATGGTTTTACATTTTATATGTAGGAAAAAAAACTGTCTCTGCAGAGTGAAATTGGGCCAAGTAAAAATAGGAAAATATATAAGCTTTACATGATGAGAATAGGCTACCATGAAAGAATATAGTAACAAAAAACTCAACATCAACTCTCCTTTTGTATTTCACCCTTCTCAGACTGGCATCAGGTTTAGGTTATCCTACTGAAAATTTGATTGTGTTTGCTATGGTTTGTATGTATTTGTCCCTTCAAGGCCTCATGCAGTCATTGAGGTACAGTTTTACAGTTGGTGATTAATTCATGATCCAAGGTTGGGATTACGGATCTGAGTCCTGCTGGAATTATGGGTCTGAGTACTGCTGGGATCACAGGTGTGAGTATTGCCTGAATTATGAACATCAGTGCTACACCCAGCCTGGGGCGGATAGCCTGACTGTAACATAAGAAAGACAGACTTGCTCTCTGTAGCCATTGTTGCTGCTACTCCTTCTTTGCTCTTGGTTTTTGCTGCCACTATGAACTGCTACCCTCTACCATGTGCCACTCAGCTTTGGAGCCAGCCAAGTATGGACTGAAACCTGAATTAACTGTGAGCTAAATAAACCTTTCCTTCCTTCATTTTGGTTTTGGGAATTTGTCTCAGCAATGAGAGAGGAGTAACTAAGACAGAGCTCTCATGGAAAGTCCATAGGGAGGGCTTGGAAACTATACTGTGCTTAGGATTTTGTAATTCACAATTTATGCTCGCTTCTCCAGCCAACTCTGCATCACCAACTACAAAGGAGAGGCTGTATGAGTTATCATGAGTTATCAGCAAAGCTCAGGGAGATATCTGGAGCAGAAGCTGGACGCTTTTGCTGAAATGAACATCAACCAACTGTTGGAGGTTGCCATATAGGTATTTGTAACCTGAAATCAGGAGGCCTCATAGGAAAAATAGCAATGAAGAAAAAGGCAGACATGCTGACAGCCATCCTGGCAGAATGATCGGGACATCCCCATGAGAACACTTCCAAGGGCAAAGAGCAAAGCAACCAAGGAGGCTGATCGGAAAGCTGAAAGAAGGGGCCACTGTGCCTGGAGAGGAAGTTAAACTGGAAGCAATATGCCCACTAATACAGGTAGGGACACTGGAAGAACGAATGTCCCTAATGGCTCGAAAAAGCTCCCCTTTTCCCTGAATAAGAGGGCAGAGATCAAGTAGTCCCGGGCAGATACCAGGCAGCTCAGAGGCCATATGGGGCCCAGTGGGACAATTTTGCAGGACTGACTGGCATTGGAGAATATGAGATCTAGGCCAGACTGGGATCTATTTTGTTAGGCTCCTAAAAGCCTAAGGTCCAAATAAATGTGGGAGGCCAGCAAAAAAGACTACATTTTCCAAGAGCAAGTCAGATACCTCAATTTCCATCTGTCATAGGGACAGTGACAATTTGGATCTGGGAGATAGCAGGGAGTTCGCTCAATTCCAATTCTAATGACCCAGTGCCAAGTCCAGGCATTCCTTGGAGCCATAGGTTTCTATAGAATCCAGATACCTAACTTCGTGGTCCTGGCAAGACCCCTTTGTGAAGCCACAAAGGGGAGAGAACAAGAACCTGTCATGGGAGCAAGTACAGCAAAAAGCTTTTGAAGAGATCAAGCCCTCACCAACACACCAAACCTGGGATTTCTGGACATGACTAAGCCTTTATATTATATGTCCAAAAGTGCACTGGCATAGCACTGGAAGTTTTAACCCAGGCCCTGGGGTCATGGCACTGGCAGGCAGCATAAATCTCCAAGCAATTTCAGTTCAGGGCTCATTACTCTCATCTGTGAGCCCTTGCAGCTATAGCTCTGGTGGTGGCAGAAGCTGACAAACTGACTATGGGAGGACTGACAGTCCACTATAGCATCTTGTACAAGCCCTTATCAGATCACAGGATCTGCGCTATAAGGGTGTGAGTGCCCTGCAAGGAGTAAGTTTCTGGATGTCCAAGGTGAAAGTAAAGACCAGAGTTCCTCTGAAGAAACAAGTGAGCCTTTTTTCTTTGTTCCCCTTTTCATTCCACACAGGCTACAAGCTTACTGATTGGTGCCACTCACTCTGGGTGGGTCTTCTATTGTCAGTAAATCCTTTCAACCAGAGAATTACACTAATCCAAACTGAGCATTTCTTACTCAAATGTACCTAACAGTTAATTATTACATTATGGAAGATGTAACAAAGCAAATGGAGTGGGATAGCCAGGGTTATTGTAGGCACAGAATGGGAAGCTTATAGGCCTGTCAGGTGGTTGACTCTAGTCTTAGTCCAGTAAAACTTTGAGTGACCCTTCACAATATATCATTTCTTTCTTTGTGGAATAAATCATGAAGGGTTTTTATAGCCCTCCACAGTGTCTTTTGAGGAGGACCAGATTGTTTTCTAAATTCCATCAGATTCTTTTTTTAATTCATCCTTGACTTAAGGTCCATTTATTTTTGGGGGATGGAGGAACAGGCTAGTTTTAATGGTACTTGAGGAAGTGGGAATAAGACTAGAGTCTTGAGGAGCGGTAAGGCTGCCTTTTGGGACCTCTCCCCCAAATGTGTCCCTTACAATGCATGAGGGTGACCAACTTGGATAGTCTCTAGTTTTGCCATTTCCTGCTTGTGCTTTCTAGATAACTGCTTATTAGTTTATGATCTTAATTTTTTCAATGTGTTAGAATCATGAGCACAAAAGTTCATTTAAATTTCCATGGATAAATTAGGATTAAACCAGGACATGAAAATAGAATGTAGATTTGATTATTAAGATATATACAATCTAATGGGGGCAAATATGACCAATTCAATTTTGTGTGTTTCCTTGTTCATTCTTTCATGTGCTATGTTGTAAATAATATACTTCGTACATCTACATCCACCTGGCAGACAGAAAAGCTTATTAGTTTTTTTTTTTTTTTACATGTGTACATGTGGGGAATTATAAGGCTAACAGTTCAACTTTAGGTAGATGTCTTTCTTTTCTCCAAGTCACACTGAGTCTCTGATTTGGCTCCCAGATGCTACTTGCATTTTCTTTCTTTTTTGATCTTAGTAATCACTACCACCATTTTTGAATTTCCACAGTGGAAGCTGAAAAGAGATTTTTTAACATTAAACAAGATTTTATTGATCTTGGGGTGAAGCACAAAGGAATTACAACATTACCTCAGGCTATATATTGAGCCCACAAGTCCCAGCCCCTACACAAAGCCACCCCATGAGGGCCTGTCTTCCTAACAGCTGGCTACCATGTAACTGGGGTCTGATTATTTCTTCTCACAGGTAGGACTTTTGAGTGACCCCCTTCCCAAGGAATGGAAAATTCCAGGGTATTGTTCATCTTATCCTTTGTCCCAACATCTGACTAAATTTTTAGGTCAACGGTGCTACAATTCACTTTCTTCAGGGAATATTTTACCACAGCCTAAGTGTAATTTTACTGAATCTCAAACTACTTCCAAGACAGATACTACTATCATTCAGCAGCACACCTCCCTTCATCTGTATTATTCATTTTTAAATAATTACAAATGAAAATATCCTGAGAAAATCAGGAAGTTTGTTTCTGCTGCAGTCCCTGCAAGCAATTACTCAAAGGGTAATATACACAATGATTGAGATCAAAATTTAGAGGCAAAACAATTTTCAGGCTTAACAACTATGAAAAGAACACACTATTCACAGTAAAAATGAATCTAATTTCTCACCCATAATACCTAATTTGCTCCTGGTGAATTGTGAGTATCAACTGAACAACCAGGAACAGATAGATTTAAAAAATTACCTATTTGCTGAGTCACTGTCTGAAAAGGATAATGTTGTTTGCAACTTTAAATACTCTCAACAGCTTTGACTACCTTTCCCCCATATTTAGGGTTCACTAAGAACCAGAACACGTCTGAAATAAGCACTTTTACGACAAATACTCTAGAATAAAAAAGAAAAAAAAAGGAAGGGAAGGTACATAGGGTATGCTCAAATGCTGACCCTCCCCCGACAAAGGCTGACATAATTTTCTAGCCTTTATCATTTACATACGTGGAGGTTTGTCCTGTTTCGCTAAGGCTGGGGTTGTTTCCTTGTTTTATTGGAAACTCCTCCCTCACGAAATGATTTATCGCCACTCCTACCTCAGCACAGTGCTTACCAAAGGCGCCCAATAATGAATGGATTTGTAGAAAAGAGGCGGAAAAAGAGGCTTTTGGGAGACATTATTTGGAGAACTAAAATGATCACAAAAATAACAAAACTCACTCAAATTTGGATACTGGCCACTTTCAGCGCATTCTCAAACAAGGGTCAGAACTGTACATTAAGCCCCGCCTACCAGCGACAGACCGGAAATAGTCGCTCTCCGGAAAACCGGAAGTTCCTAGTCACGCCTGCGCCTGCGTGTGTTGGTCAGCGAGCGCTTCCTCCACAGGGTCGTCCCGTGAGAAGTCCGGGCTCTTCTGACTACGCTTTTGGATCTTCACCAACCCCACGCCCCAGGGTCCTGCGCATGCGTCCCGGGTTGGGTCGAAGGAGGCGGGGCTAAAGAACAGATTTTCTTTTCCTTTTTTTTTTTTTTTTTTTTTTTTTTTTTTTTTTTTTTTTTTTTTTTTTTTTTTTTTTTGGTTCCATCCCCTCTCCTTCCCCCACCTGCCACGTACCGTGCGGCAGCTTTCGCTAGGCGTGCTGGGTGTGTGCGATTGGCCGGGCCCAGCGAGCCTGCGAACTACGTGCGGCGGCCGCGACGAACAGCGAGCGGCCCGCGACTGAAGCCTCCCTCTGAGAGCCCGGCGGCGGCCTCGCCTCGGCCCTGTCAGCGGTGACCTACGCTGAGGCGGCGGCCTCGGCTAGTCGGTACGGCCTCTGGCGCCGGGGAAGGCCGGGAGACGAGGACGTGCTGGGAGGGCCCTTCTGGGCGGGTGGGGCTGCGGAGGCCGGGAAGGGCCTCTGGCGGCGAGGGGGAGGCGGCCGCGGCCGGGCGGACAGGGCCCACCGCCTCCCTGGGCGAGCACCGCCCCGGCCCGCTGTGCGGTGGCCGTGGAGGCTGCCGGTGCCGGCTGGGGCTGGTCCTAAAGGGTCTGATTGTCGGAGAAGGGAGGATGGTGGGAGGCCCAGTGATTGGTGTCTGACCCGTAGAAGGGCTGGCAAGTTGGGGAAGGGTGGACAGTGGAAATAGGTTGATTGGGGTCACGGAAGAGGAACCGCGATCTCTGGCTGTGTCAGTGCTTTCTCCAGCGCCGTCTGGAGGCCCAGCTCAGTCTTCTAGTGAAGATGCTAACTTTTTTAAAAGTTAGCTCTCAGGGCACTACTGAGTATTTAAGATGCACCACCTCATCACAAAGAGTCATCCAAATTTAGATAGTCTCATTTTGTGTATATGATGAAAGCCTTCGAGGACGTAAGGTCACAGTGTTAGTATTATAAATATTTACTATATTTCTACAGTGTCTCTGATCAGGCAGTGTTTAAGGCCTCCTGCACTCATTTGGAATATTCTAGCGTTTGCTTTAGGAATTCTTGAAGGAACTGCTACCCTCTGGAGGTGCCTAAAGAGCTAACTCTCAATTTGAACAGGGCCTTACCCTTGGGGTTAATGGAACCAGAGGTTTGGCTACTGAATCTGGACCCCAGTGCAGAAAGCAAGGTTTTTTATTTTAAAAAAAAAATGTTCATAGGACTCTCAGTTTGTTCCTAGTAATAAAGAAAGTGTTCCAGGTGGAGGATATACAACTTAGTGGTTCATTCATTTCTGGATTTTGTGGCGGGAGCAAGGACAAGATAGAAAAAAATGCTTCATGGACCTTCTCAGCTGTTCTTCTAAGAGCTAGTTGTTCATATTGATAACTATCTGTATAAACCGAAAGATGTGTGGATGCGATTTATCCTTGGAAGGAAAATTTTGTTGCACACTTTTGTGATATCTGTGTGTTTATTGTGAGGCTATGACTATACATACTGTAGGAACAACCTTAGGAAAGAAGCATTGGTTCTTCCCCACGGAATTCATAATGAATGGGAAACAGCAAAAAATGAATTTTCAGACAAACACAACAGATAAAGAAATAAGTGGAGTTTTTAGGTCCATTAGAATTGAACACTTTTTGTCAAAAGAACTCCTTTCTGTATATTTGGTATTAAAATTTTAACAGTAACTCTGACATGTGGAGTTATTCTTAGCTACATAAAGAAGGTTCATTGTGAAAGTGACAGAACTTTTTTCAAGTCTTTATCAGAACCTTATTTTTCTTCATCTTTTGTGCAGGTTACAAAAACAGTTACTTAATACCTTCTGTATGTGAGGCATTGTTCTAGGTGCTGCCAGGAATGGATAACACCATCTCACTGAAGCTAAGCACTGGCACCTATATATATTATTATTGGTTTACACTTCCATACGTAAGACACTACAGCAAGTATGTTGAAAGATTACTTTCAGGTTGTTAGTGTAAGCAAACTGGAGTATTTACCATCTTGTTGAGGTTTTTACACTTCAGAGCTTGGCTCATGGTAGGTGTTCCGTAAATGATTTCTAAACTCAGAGGACAAGTTTGATCACCTGGTTTTATGGAGGTGTTAGTTCATCAGTTTTCATGAGAAGTGCATTGTGAATTGATGCTTAGAAAGCTTTTTGTTTGTATCAAGACAACTATAGCATACAGATTATGGAGCACAATCCACTGTGTTCTTCATTGACCTTGGAGTGTTATATTTAGTTTTAATGCCCCATTTCATTAAAGAATTATTAATAAAATGAAATCTGGCCAGAGGATGGAGGAATCGAGAGTATTCATTTAAGAAATTGTTAGGTAAGAGAACCAGGGTGTATTAATATTCGTGAAATAGGATCATGAACACTTTTTCAAGTATCAGAGGGTTGATATGAGTGCTTTTACACATGCACATAAAGGAGAGAATAATTGGAGAGACAGTGATGATGTTAAATAATAAGTTTAAGAGGAGGAAATAAAACTGCTCATAGTAAAGCAGGCTGTTGACCCAAAAATGTGGCCAGTAGCTGGTTGTGAGACAACTTAAAGAAACTTAATGGACTTGGGGTAGGAGGAATTGTTACTAAGGAAATGCTCACTGCTCATAGATTAACGTGCTCAGGAATGTCTTTGTGTTGATAAGTGACATTAACTCCATTGTTGATCCTAAGTATGAACTTAAGTATTATACAATAATAATACAAATTATTGGAGGCCTTTAAAAATATTTTGAATTTAGGATTACAAAGATATAATGAATTAACCATAAGTAACAGCCTAAAAGAAGAAGAAAATAAAACCCAAGGAATGGGAAAATTATGTAAACAAATTAGTAGTTAGTGACTACTTCTCTTGATACTGTCTTTGTTTCTTAAAGTATGAGGTCTAAGCTTACCTACTTTGGTTGGGGGTATGGAATGTATACCTGAATAGTCTTGGGAAGCTCTGGAGGTTGTCATTCATTTGTTCTTTCTCTTCAAGTTCCTAAAATAGAGTGAAGTTAGAGAAAGTACTCATGACATCTTTCTTATTTGAGGAGAAATTTGAGCCTCTATTTTCATGTTCACACATACTTTTCACTTCCTAGTTACCATTAAAGTTATATGCTAATAAAGTTTTGATATCAGTCATTTTTCCCTCATGTAATAATTACCAAACTATTGTGTATGAAGCATTTTTCTTCTTCTTTTTTCTTTTTTTTTTGGTGGAACCTGGGATTGAACTCAGGCCCTGCGCTTGCCAGGCAAGCGCTTATTCTACTGAGCTATCTCCCCGGCCCCAAAGCATTCTTCTAGACTGTGAGAATACAGCATGGTTTTTTTTTTTTTCCACCTTCTAGTAGAAAGGACAGTAAAAACTGTACATTTTTAATATCTAATTGTATTAAGTCCTTTGAAAAAAATAAAATAGGCTAAAAAGATAGTGTTGGGAAACCATTTTATATTAGTGGTGTAGGAAGAATAAGTAAGGAGAAAAGGTAGAAAAGAATTAGAAATAAAGTTACATGTTTGGTCAGGGGCCAAAGGGTAGATCATGATCTTGTAAGATTTACTTTATGAGGTACATATCTGTTGGGAGGTTTTGAGCACATTGACATTAGGTTTTATTTAGAAGTATGCAGAAGGGGAAAAAAAAAGCAAATCAGTTAAACATTCTCTTTCAGTAATTTAGGCTTGAGATCATGGTGGTTTATTTAGATCAAGTTGGTAGCCATAAAAGTAGTGAGGTGGTTGGATTACAGAGATACTTTAAATGTATTGACATCCAGATTTATAAAGTGTTAAAAAAGGGAAGAACCAAGAATTTTTGGTTCTTTCCTGCCATTTACCCTCCTATTATGGTAAATGAGTGACCATTCTTTTAATGAGATGTCCATTTCTTTCATGAGTAGCCTGAAGGAAGAAATTATCAGTAACAGGTGGGGAAAACCTTAAGGGAGACATTTTGGATAGTATAACAAGTTAGGAATATAAAAAGTAATATCAGACAAACAGTTAAATTTGTGGGTAAAACAATAGGAAACAAAACACAATAAATACCCATATTTGTTTATTTCCTGACTACAGTATTTTAACATGAATATGGTAACACTTGGAGAATGAATCACTTGAAGGACAGAATTTTGTACATTCTAATAGTAGCTTGTTTTCAGCTTTTAAGATACATTTCTGTTTTGTTTAATCATTAAAATCATTTTTGTCAGTCTTTCTCTAGAGTTAACTCTGTAGAGCATCCTGGAGTCTACCATGAATGAACAGTTGGACCTAAGTGGGAAGCTAATTATCAAAGCCCAACTTGGGGAGGATAGTCGGCGAATTCCCATTCATAATGAAGATATTA